ATATTCTATTTGCTCACCAAAAAGCAGACTACTAGGCCGTAAAAAAGAAGGAAATATTACCTTTTGTAACAGCATAGATGGATCTGGAGAGTATTATGCTAAGTGAAATAAGCCAGTCAGAGAAGGACAAGTACTGCCGTAGACCAATTCCAGCATGTCATAATTTCAAGAGTTTCATCAAAAGGTTGATGAAACTTGGGGACTCAACAGGGTTGAGTCACACATGTAGTCACCTGGTGGGAATGGCTAAAGGCATTTCCCCAAACCTGAATAGGATACATTAAATTCACTGTGGCTGCCAGACAGTTAAAGGGCATCTTAATCTACATGTTTTTGCCTCCTACTGGCCAAACACCTGAATAGCCATAGGCTAATTCCCCCCTTTTGACAATGCTTCTGTACCCTTTGAAACCTTACCCTTTGAAGTGTATTATCTTCACCTTGCCTTAGGACAAATTGTGTTAATAAAAGCAAGGGTCCTAGACAAGGAGGGAGTCTTCAGTTCCTTTAACTGAAGGTCCTCTGACCCCCAATGCCTTTCAAAATTATATCTCGTCCCCGGACTCTTTATTAGTCTCTTGATTCCTATGTCATCTACGCGCAGCGCCTTTTCCAGATTCCTGAACTCTTCTTGATGCTGGGACAAGAACCCCGGCAAAGTACCATATTACTTCACTCATATGTCGAATCTAATGAACAAAATAAATTAACAAACAAAATAGAGACAGACTCACAGAGAACAGACTGATAGCTGTCAGATGGGAGGGGAGTTTGCAGGGCTGGGTGAAAAAGGTGAAGGGATTAAGCAAAAAAGAAAAACCAAAATTCATAGACAGACCCAGAGGGAGGGGGGGGGATGTGAGGGGGGGGCTAGGTAGGAGAGGGTAAAGGGAGGATACATGTTGATGAGAGGAGATCTGACTTGGGGTGGTGAACACAATACAATATACAGATGCTGTATTATAGAATTATACACCTGAAACTTACACCATTTTATTTACCAATGTCACCCCAATAAATTCAATTTTAAAAAAAAGCAGAGAATTTCAGTTAAAGGCAACCATATTCTGTCACAATTTAGCTTACAGCAGTCAATTCAGATATCCTCACTGTGCCAAGTGCTTTACAAACCTTCTCATTTAGTCTTTCCAAGACCTCTATGATACTGTCACCACTACTAGCTTTGTTTTAAAGACAAGAAAAAGGAGATGGTAAAAGTTTGTGACTGGTCCGCGGTCTGGATTAAATACATGGAATTTTTAAAAGCTGTCTCCAGTTACACATGTGAGGAAGCACAGCCCGAGGCTTAGTGCCCTAGTGCTGAGGAACCAAAGAAGGTGGTGGTAGGGGAGCTGGGAGGGGCATGATGTTTGATTTCCACCACCACTTCTTTATTTTCAAGTTTCGTCTAGCCATTACACCACAAACTTGCCAACAACTGGACTGACTGCTGTACCGTTGATTTCTAAGTTTCTCTCTAGAGCAGTGGTTCTCAACCTTCTGGCCCTTTAAATACAGTTCCTCATGTTGTGACCCAACCATAAAATTATTTTTGTTGCTACTTCATAACTATAATGTTGCTACTGTCATGAATCATAATGTAAATATCTGATATGCAGGATGGTCTTAGGCGACCCCTGTGAAAGGGTCGTTCGACCGCCAAAGGGGTCGTGACCCACAGGTTGAGAACCGCTGCTCTAGAGCCTGGCCTCTGTGTGGTCTGTTCTGTACATGTTTGGGCTTTTAAGGAGGCAGCATCCATCACCGAACCAACTTTCCTCTAGGGCAGTGGTTCTCAACCTTCCTAATGCCTCGACCCTTTAATACAGTTCCTCATGTTGTGGTGACCCCCAACCATAAAATTATTTTCGTTGCTACTTCATAACTGTAATTTTGCTACTGTTATGAATCGTAATGTAAATATCTGATATGCAGGAGGTATTTTCATTATTACAAACGGAACATAATTAAAGCATAGTGATTAATCACAAAAACAATATGTAATTATATATTCAATATGTGTTTTCCGGTGGTCTTAGGAGACCCCTGTGAAAGGGTCGTTCGACCCCCAAAGGGGTCGCGACCCACAGGTTGAGAACCGCTGCTCTAGGGGATTCCTTTTAAATCTCAGTGGTTTAAAAACCCACTCAGGCAGTGCTGCTCAGAGGAATGTTTCAGAACTAGTGCCAGTTGGTAACAAGGTAAGCAAAAAAAAATTTAAAAGTATTTCTAAACTTTAATAGCCACGTTAAAGAGTAATTTTATGTCTGCTGAAGCTAATAAATTGGGGCTTATGTTTAGTATATTGTGTTTTTAAACTTCATTATTCATATAACTTATTTTTTATAGTGTTTTACTTGAGAGGCTGAATGTACAGAACTCTGACCCACAGCCTGAAGCAGCAACCCGCCTAGAAAAACCACCTCTTATCTACGATAATCAGCCTGGGAAGGCAGCCTTCAACTTTCAGAAAGCCAGATTGCCAGCTCTAGTACCAATCCAGGAAGCTAAACAGTAACTTCTCTGGCAGGTGGCCCCAAATGGCCAGAACAAGATTAAGAACTCACAGCTGCCCGAATTGTTGTCCCTGCTTCCAGTTTAGAACCAAGCAGAGAAAGCCAGACATGGCTAGCCAATGACAGAGGATGCCCTGCTTCTATGCCTACAGCTTCCCTGTGCCAACAGCCTCCACTGAAGGCACGCCTGAAGCCTTCCCTTCCTCCTTTCGTTCTTTTAAAACATATATTTCTATTGATTTCAGAAAGGAAGGGAGAGGGAGAGATAGAAACATCAATGATGATAGAGAATCCTCGATCAGCTGCCTCCTGCACGCCCCACAGTGGGGATGGGGCTCGCAACCGGGACATGTGCCCTGACGGGGACTAGAACCGGGACCACCTGGTTCACAGGTCCAAGCTCAACCGCTGAGCCAGGCTGGCTGGGCGCCTTCCCTTCTTTCCACCGTCAGCCCCTCCCCACTCCTCTGCCAGCCGTTGAGTCTCTGCCAAAATGCAGGCGAGGGGATAGCAGCTCTGAATAAAGAGCCTTTGCGTTTGGGGTTGGTCTTCATTTATTTCCACACACCATAAGAAAAGAAAGAAAAGGAAAGAAAGCCCAAAAACAAAACAAAACGGGTCCTCCACCAGACAGCTTAGCTCGATGCGTACCGGCCTGGGGTGCGGCGGTCGCCTCCAGGCAGGCACCTGGGGGGCCAGGGCGGGGAGAGCACCCCGGGCACGCACCGCTGGGACAGCGAGGACAGGTGATCCCCGGTTACGAGTGGCCCCGGGGAGCGAGAGGACGGGTGTTCGGGGCGGGGAACACTGGCTACCTTCGCTCTCCCACGTGTCCGGTGCTGGGCGTCTCAGAGCCCCGGCACAGCCAGGGGGGAGCTTCTGCGCACGCTCTCCGCGCACGCGCACTCTCGGCACCGGCCGTCGGCTGAGTGACGTCACGTCCGCTGAGGGAGGTGTCGGCGGCGGCGGCGGCGGCGAAAGCGGCGGCTGGGGGCTGTTTCCTGGTTGGTCCGCGCCGGGCGCTGGTGCCCCGCGGTTTCCCTCCGCTCCGCGGGCCCGCTAGCGCCGCCCGGGTCCCCAGGCCGGCCCCCACGTCGCCTGCCTGCCCGCCCGCCGGTCAGCGCCCCTGGCCTGGCTTCCGCGGCCTCCCCCGGACCACCTGGTCTGCACCCGGGTTTCCATCACAGGAGGTGAAGCGCCTTGGAGATGGGGCGGGGTCTTAGGCAGGTCGGCTGCACGGCCGAGGGCGGAATGCAATTTGCAGTATTTCCTCCAAGAGGACGCAAGACGCCTTTGCGGTGGTGCAGTCTGAGGCTGGTTTCTGCAGACAGCAGACACGTATCGCCGTGTAGCTGTTTGGATGCTTCTTTTAAATAAACCCCCAAATTCAATGAGGGTTTTAATGCTTTGGAATTTTGTCCTTAAAAGAACATTTGGTCCCCAAAGCTTGGAACCCTCTTTCTCATTTTAAGCGAATCCTAATCTTTCCTGTGATTGCATTGACTCAGCATATCTTTTTTATAAGGAAGACCTTGGCTGTGTGGAACTCAAGCCTCCTGTGCCAGAATTCCTGAAACCTGAGGATTATGTTCTTTTTTGCACTCACACTTCAAGCATTTGGGTTGGGCAGCACAATACTTTTATGGAAAATGCATTACATCCACTATATTCTTAAAACAGCAACCTAATTTGACCTTTTCCTGATGACTTGCCATCAACCTATGAAGGTTATTGTGACAGAACCTAAGACTATTAAACTTTTTGAGTTCTGAAGACAGATTATAAATTGTTATTCTGTCTCCAACTTTATGCCATAATTTACCACCCAGCTACATTCCTGCCCCTCTTCAGGTTTATGATTTAATGCTGTTAAGCTTTATGGGTTTTGAATTTTGATAATTACCTTTGGTAGAATTGTGTTTAAAGGAAAACTAAGTGAGGGACTTGTAGCTTTTTACTTTTTATAACTTAGTTTTTCCATTTTACAAAATGCCCATTTTAGAAAACACAGCTAAGCAAAAGAAAATTTAACATCATCTGGAATTCCACTACTTAAAGATAACCATTGCTAACATTTCAGAATACAGTCCAATTTTTAAATGCATAGTTTTATAAAACAAGAACAGAATCATAGTGTATACTGTTTGGTAACACCTTTTGTATGACATCTTGTCTTTTTATTTCATTTTTTTCTTTGAACATGTGATATGACTAGGTGCTCTCATAAGTGAAATAGGATCCCTAGGGCTTGAACCTTGTACCATCTATTTTAGCAACTCAGAGGATGCTGGTTTTATGTCTTGGTTTTTGGCCAAGGTGCATAGGTGAGGTGGTGTTAGAGTTGTGTGAAAGGAAAGATTTAATATTGAGTCCCATGCAAGGGCAGACAGTTTATTATATCAGATTCACTGAAAAGTTGGAGAAAATCATTGAAAAATTTTAATTCTTCCTTCTTTGTTTCTAAACTCACTCCCTCCCCCCTTCTCCAAGAATGAAACATGACTGAGGATTCTCAGAGAAACTTTCGTTCAGTATATTATGAGAAAGTGGGTTTTCGTGGAGTTGAAGAAAAGAAATCATTAGAAATTCTCCTAAAAGATGACCGTTTGGGTGAGTTTTATAAGTAAAATTAAGCCTACTGCTTCTCAGTCATCCCAAATGTTCTGAAATAAATGTTTCCTGAAGGGCATCCAGAGGTATTTGTTACTTGATGTATTTTTTAGTGATAAGATGACTGCAGAATTTTATATGTGTGTGTGTGTGTGTGTGTGTGTGTGTGTGTGTATGTATGTATATATATAAATATATATATATATATATGAAGAAGTTATGGATTTTTCAAGTTTATATTTCTACTGAGGCGGAGTTAGATGGTTTTGAAAGGCCTCTTAAGAAATCAATATTTTTTTCTCATATTAGACCCATATATTTTCTTTTCTCAATTTTCAGAGGTGTCATCATAGCTTCTGGGTAAATTTACAACAACTCTCGCCATGATTTTCCTTTATGGAAATACTGAGACTGTATTATGTATTAACATTTTCGTTTCTTCCAGGCCAGTAATAATAAGGTCTGTTCTGCGGTTGACTAAAGTAAAATAAACTGAACCATAGTTAAAAATAGTACTTTACATGCTTTTAAAGTTTCAAAAACATTTCCCACCTGATCTTTGATCCTGGCTAGACAGTCTGTGCCTTAAGCATGTCTGGTATTGTCATTCTCATTTGACAAACAGGGGAATTTAGATCCAGGACCAGTTGAGTGTGCTTTACGGGAAAATGTGGGATTTGAGGGCTGACTATGCCACTCACTTGCTGTTAACTTAGTCAAGTGGCTTAACTGCTTTGAGCTTCAGTTTTTTGCATCTTTAAAATAAGAACTAGCTAACAAGCTTGCAAGGTGAATTAAATGAAATAAATTCTATAAATAGTAACTACTGCTAATGTTATTGTAAATGTAGTAATATATGCAAAATGTATTTCCTATGCTGTGAAACACTCATTGTTTTTAAGTAATTAAAAACAAAGTATAATAAGACGGTGGAACCCCTTTCTTACAATACTTTAATGTGTAACCAATGAAATGCACAGAAAGCTTCTAACTATTGTGTTCTTTCTTCCTTTAGATATTGAGAAACTTTGTACTTTTAGTCAAAGGTTTCCTCTCCCGTCTATGTACCGTGCATTGGTATGGAAGGTGCTTCTAGGTATGAGACCAAGAATTAGAAATTTATCTTCAAAAATGTTCATTTGTCATTGAATCAGTCAGGAAAAGGAAAAGTTACTGAATATTAGGCCTAATTTTAGGAGACTGAGTTCCTGTTCACTATGATTGCCTTTAAGGAGGTGGCTTCACTGGGAAAACATTAAATATTACTCCTGAGTGTCAGTTTATTAATGATAGAAGGGAAAGTAAAGTATGTTCCTGAGACAAGGTGGGGGAAGAGCATTGTACTGGGAGAACTAACTGGTCTAGGCTTTGCTGTCAACTGGGTAACCTTGGGAAAGACTTAGCTAGGCCTCATTTTTTGCTAAATTGACTTTTAGGTTTTAGCACTCAGTTTGTCATATCTGTGATTCCTAGTCCTAGATGTATACTTGTTAGAAGCCCAAAGGAATTCACTTCCAGTGATGAGTGGCTAAAGAAGGAGAAGGGTCCTTGCTCAGTTTCTGTGGAAGGAAAAGTATATCAGGTTCCACAAGTGACTGACGTTATCCCTTTTAGCCAAGGTCTTTTTTTCTTTAATTGCTGAGCCTGCTGAAATATATACCACCCTCCTTTTCTTTCTTAAAAAAAAAAAAATTGACTAGCCTGTGTGGCTCAGTTGGTTAGGTGTTGTCCTGTGCACCAGGAGGTTGCAGGTTTGATTCCTAGCCAGGGCGCATGTATGGGTTGCGGGCTGGATCCTCAGTTCAGGGTGTGCGGGAGGCAAGTGATCAGTGTCACACCCTCACATTGATGTTCCTCTCTCTCTGGAAATCGGTGGGCTATTCTTTAAAAAAAAAAATTAGAGTAATCCTAGAATTTCCCTGTGAGTTAAATATCAGTATCCCCATTTTGCACTTGGAGAAAAGGATTGTGAGGCTAAATAACTAGTCTAAGGCCTTATAGCCTCTCAGTAGCAAAACTAGGTTTTGAGCTCAGGTGTGTAGAGCCCATTTGAAGGTAGGATAGATTACAGACCTTGTCTTTACAAAATGTACTGTATTTTCAGGCCTTGGCAATTCTTAGTCCCAAGTCTGACTACAAACCATTTCAGAAAGCACTGCATAATGACTTTTGTTATGCATCTTTGTACTTATATTTCTAGTAGGTCACTGTGTAGTTGAAATCTAGAAAATGGTTGACAGCTATTTTAGTTTTCCCCCAGCATTTTTCTTAAATCTTAGTGCTTCCAGTAGTCATCCAAATAAGGATGCTTTTTAGGTGGCTGTGTAGATATTATCTATTTCTGTTGGGAAATATGTGTCTAACTAGAGGCCTGGTGCACGAAATTCGTGCGCTTGAGATTGGCAGTGGGGGGAGTCCCTCAGCCAGGCCTGTGCCCTCTCGCTTTCCGGGAGCCCTCAGAGGATGTCTGACTGACAGCTTAGGCCTGCTGGGCTTCTGGCTGAGCGGCACTCCCCCTGTGGTCAGTGCATGTCATAGCGACCGGTCTTTCTGCCATTCAGTCTATTTGCATATTAGCCTTTTATTATATAGAATAATGACAGTGGATTAATGGGAGAGGCACAGTTGTACTTTGTGACACTTCCCAAGTGCCAGGCTATCTGGCTTATTCCTCACCCGTGTTTTCCCACCTGTCTTTCTCAGGCAAGTCTTTGTTGTTATTTTTGTGGTAGAGGCCCTGGGGATTTAGGGCTGCCACGCTGTGTAAGAGACAGGCTGACTCCTACATAGGCTGTGGATTACTCAGGGACCTTGTCATGCCCACTTCATGATTGTCGGGGGCTCCCTTCTCCGCGTCCAGCACGGAGAGAGAGAGAGACGTGAACTGGTTCTTTTAAGTAGAGGCGCTGGGGATTTAAAAATGAATGAGACAGGACACAAAAATAGAATAAGCTGGGTCCGGGTGTGGCGTCTGCCCTCTGATGGAGGGATAGACAGACAGACGAGTAGCACCGGAAGTAAATTTAATATATATATATTCGAAGTAACAGGAAGTTACATCACATCTGGGTGGGCCTTGAGTTAATAGGATCCATCCCCCTTAGCACCTGGGTGGGAAGGTCAGACTGAGTGGCGACCTAGCCTCTTGACTAGGACCACCCCCAGGGCGTGGCTCTGCCTGCACTCTGGGTCCAGCCGACGATATTTAAAAAAACACCTGAATGTGCTAGCCAGCAGCCCTCCACACATGATATTGTTTTAGGTAAATATCAGAAAAAGACTTTCTAGGACTAGGTCTTAGAAAACAAATGTGAGGTTTGACATAGAACACTGTGCTGCCTCTAGTAGTATGATAAGGATTTAATTACACCTATTTAATCTGTACTGTTTTAGTCCAGATTTGGAGGACATTTTAGTGTATTTCTCTGGCTTTTCTGGAAGCCTGGCACAGAGCCCCATAGGTAAGGTAAATAAAGATTTATGTCAGGAAAAAGAACATTTAAGCAAGTTTGGTTGTAGAATTAATATAGCATCATGTTAGCTAGAGTCCTTAAAGCTCATCCAACTTTTGTTTCACAGAATGTTCTTTAGAATACTGGATGTGCGGCATTTTGTACCAAAGAGTGATCCATAGTCAGGTATACTAGTTAACACTTCTACTACCTTTCTAAGTGCTTTATGTATATAGATATTTTTATTCATCACAACAGCTGTTTGAGAAAGCTATTATGATTCCCATTTTTCCGCTGAAAAAGTGAAAAGAGATCAAATGAGTTGCTGATGGTCACCCACCAGTTAATTGTAGAGCTAGAATTCAAACCCAGAAACTTTGACTCCATAGTCTGTGCTGCTATACCATTTGGTTAAGTTTAATGGGGCTGGAATAAATAAAATAACATGTTTTTCTTTATAGCAAAATTTAGAACCTTGAAAATTCATTGTCATCACTTTCCAAATCTATTTGACCCGGCACCCTTTTCTCATGAAGACTCTAGGAGCTAGTGTCCTGCAAAGCTTGTTTGGTGTTATGCTTACCCCTCCCATTGCCCACCCCTGATAGGTGAGGGAACAAGGGCCCAGGCTGATGTTCCTCAGAGTCCTGCTGTTAGACCTGGGGCTAGACCTTCTGTGTTCTTTCCACTCTCTTTTCTCCATGCCATTTGTTTGTTAAAAAAAAGCACATGGTTCTTGCTCCAAAGCTATCTTTAAGTGAGTTAATAAGTATAAAATGGCATCAGAATGTAATGTATGGTGGTGTTGTCAGTGCAGATTAGAGATTTCTGTGGTCCTGAAGGTAGGATACATTGTGAGCAAGTTTCAGTTGTTGGGGAGAGAAGTATTTGATGGGTAATTGGTGGTTCTGAGATGAAGGGGGCTATATTGTCAGCTAGTGCTGACATAATAGAATGCTACAGACTGGGTGGCTTAAACAATTTATATTCTCCTGGTTTTAGAGGCTTGGAAGTCCAAGACCACGGTGCTAACTGATTTGATTCCTGGTGAAGCTCACTTCCTGGCTTCCGATGGCCACCTGTGACATGGAACACCGGGGAGAAAGTTTCATGCCATGTCACTGTCTTCACATGGCAGAGCATAAGAGTGCTCTGGTATTTCTTCCTTTTCTTAGAAGGCGCTATCCCTATTGGATTAGGGCTCTATCCTTGTAACCTCATTTAACTTTACCTTCTTATAGGCCCTCTTTCCAAATATAGTCACGTTAGGGGTTAGGGCTTTCACATATGAATTTGAGGGGACACAAGCCAGTCCCTAGCATGGGCCAAGTGGGAAAACTGGACGGGCCTCCAGGAGCTCAGGGTTGTCAAGGCTGGCAGCTGTAATTGAATTAAATCATTATTATAATTGATACTAGAGGCCTGGTACATGAAATTCGTGCACTGGGGGGGGGGGGGCGGTGTCCCTCAGTCCAGACTGTACCCTCTCCAATCTGGGACCCCCTTGGGGGATGTCTGAATCACCGGCAGTCGAACGTCCTTCTCACAATCCAGGACTGCTGGCTCCTAACTGCTCACCTGCCTGCCTTCCTGATTGCCCCTAACTGCCCTCCCCTGCTGGCCTGATCGCCCTCAACTGTCCTGCCCTACAGGCCTGGTCACCCCCAGCTGCCCTCCCCTGCTGGCCTGATCACCCCCAGCTGCCCTCCCCTGCTGGCCTGATGGCCCCCAGCTTCCCTCCCCTGCCGGCCTGATCTCGCCTCCAACTGCCCTCCCCTGCCGGCCTGATCTCACCCCCAACTGCCCTCTCCTGCTGGCCATCTTGTGGTGACCATCTTGTGACGATGTGAGGGCGGCCATCTTATGGTGGCCATCTTGTGATGACATCACGCGATGCCACCTAGGCTTTTATTGTATAGGATGGTTATTATCTTGTAATTGATAGGGTTATTATTTTGAATTTAGATGACACGTTTATTCAAGGGCTTTATGATGCCATTTCATTTCTCTTTTATACAGTTGCCATTCAAATATTGAGGGTATTTAAAATTCTTTTGTAGTGAAAATTTCTAAAAGAGAATCTATATGGTAAATACTTGTGTGAGTTTTAGTTTAATTGTGATGGGCGGCTTCTTCCAGGATTCTCTTTAATGGAGGAGGGATTTGGATTGGTATCTCAATATTTTGTCCTTTATTTTTTCTGGATCTCTGTATAGGGATCCTGCCTCCACACCATGAGTCACACACCCAGGTGATGATGTATCGTAAGGGGCAGTACTCGGATGTCCTTCATGCCCTGAAAGTCGTTCGCTTTGTCAGTGATGCCACACCTCAGGTTGAAGTCTATCTCCGCATGTATCAGCTGGAGTCTGGAAAGTTGCCTCGAAGTCCCTCCTTCCCACTGGTTAGTGATATGTTTGTTTGACGCTTAGCTCTACTCTACACTGTCTCATCTTGCCAGAGATTGCATCATGTTTTGCCTTAGAAACTTTCAATGGGTCCCCTTTGTCTATAGACTAAAAGCAACACATCTTTTCCCAACATTCATCTGACTCCATCTGCCTAATTATTTCAGATACTATGTTTTATTTTGAAGTAATTTCAAACTTACAGAGAAATTGCAAGAATACTATCAAGAATTCCTATATACTCTTTACCCATGTTCCCCAGTCATCTACAATTTTGAACATTTGCTTTGTCATTTTTCCTATATATGTATACTGGCTCGGTGCACAAAATTTGTGCACTCGCAGGGGGTGGTCTATCAGCCCAGCCTGTGCCCTCTCGTAGTCCAGGAGCCCTTGAGGGCAGTCCGACATCCTCAGTGCTGCCGCAGAGGTGGGAGAGGCTCCCGCCACCACTGCTGTGCTCGCCAGCTGTGAGCCCAGCTCAGGGCTTCTGGCTGAGTGGCATTCCCCTTGTGGGAGCGCACTGACCACCAGGGGACAGCTCCTGCATTGAGCGTCTGCTCCCTGGTGGTCACTGTGCATATAGTGAACTGTCCTTCTGCTATTTGGTCGATTTGCATATTAGCCTTTAATTATATAGGATATTTTTTCTAAACCATCCTATCTAATAAAAGGCTAATATACAAATTGTTCCTTTGACTGAGAGTTTAACCAGGAGTTCAACCAGGGGGCAGGGCTGGCTGGCCAACTTCCTGCAGCCCCTCCCCTGGCTGTCCTCGCCCCTGATCAGTCCCCCTCCCCCCAACCCCGATCTGAGCAGGCAGGCTGGACCCCACCCATGCACGAATTCGTGCACTGGGCCTCTAGTTTGAGAATAAGATACAAACATGATATTGCATTACTTCAGATTTCTTCAGTGTATACTTCCTAAAGATAAGAACACTCCCCTAGCTAACCAAGAAGTTGACATTGATACAATATAAACATCTACTCACTTCATTCACATTTGACCCAGTGTTCCAATAATGCCCTTTATTAAAACAAACAGTAAAAGTTTTAATTCAGAACCTTTTCAAACTTTCCTATCAAACTTTTACCCACTAATTTTATGATTTGTTGATTTAAAAATTTTTAATGTTTTAACTATTCATTTGGAAATCATTTTAAACATAGAAAAAGTTGTAAAAATAGTCTAGCGTTCCCATATACCTTCGTCTATCACCTCAAATGTTACATCTCACGTACTGTAGTATAATTATCAAAACCAGAAAATCAGCATTGACACAACACTGTCAACTCCTTGGTGGGCATTACTGACTTTGTGCTGATTGTCCCACTGATGTCCTTCTTCTGGCCCTGGATCCAGTCTGGGATCACACTTTATGTTTATTTCCATGTCTTCTTATTCCCCTTTAATCTGGGACAGTTCCTCTGTCTTTCTTTGTACAAACTTTCATAACCCTGGCATTTTTTTAAGACTACTGGGCAGTAGAGCATTGCTCAGTTTGGGTTTGTCTGACGTTTCCTCATGATTAAAATCTGGTTTTGCATTTTGGGCAGGAGTATGATACTTAGTACTGTTGCTGCTAACTTTGTTCACTTGGTTAAGGTGGTGCCTGCCAGCTTTCTCCAATGTAAAGTTACTATTTTTCCCATTATGATTAATAAGTAACTCCTGGGAAGAAAGTTTCATACTATGTAAATATCCAACCACTTGTGATTCTTGCTTGAAACAATTTTGCTGATGGCCAAATAGTGATTTTCTGACTCCTTTATTCTTTTATAAGGAAGGTTTTCCCCTCTCCCTCGCTTATTTATTTATATCAGTATACTTTTATGTTTTTTTGACAAGTCCCCATCATTTTGAGCATTTTCTTACTTTCTGGTACAAAGAGATATTCCAGGTTCATCTTGTGCTTTCCCTGTGTTGGACCTGGAATCAGCCACTCCCACCCCTATGGAGTGTGGTATTTAGAAACCAAGAATAGGGCACTAGATACGGTCATTCTTCCTAGTGTATCATTGCTTCTAGGCTCTCTCAGCAGGTGCAAGGAAATATGTGTGTGTACACACACATTCGCGTACATATTCACACACACCTGTGTACTAGTAGAATATTAATAGGTTGAAAGAAGGCCTAAAATGAAGTACTTTTATTAGACTAGGAATTTTGATTTAACTTGGAACTTCTTAGGAGAATAGAAAGATACTTTTAGTTTCTTTTTTAGCATTAAAATCACTCAGCTCTTAAATCCTAGATGAAAATGTATTTTCATGTAAGATAATGGTGTTTGGAAACAATAGGTTTTCAACAGATTTCACTTTTTATAAGATTTTTTGTTGTTGAAGTTTCCTTGAGGGTTTATTTTCATGTTCTGAGTCTTGACACGAAAGTTTGAGAAGTACCATTCTTCTGAATCCTAACATGCTGATTTGAGGGACATTTTAACGTTTTAGGTGCTTAAAGATAGAACAAAATTCTGCAGGACTGTGTGAACACTTTGAAATAAAGACAATGCTTTCTTAGTCCTTTCCAAGTCAGTCAGTTTTTGGAAATTACCTTATTGACAAATGTCTCCAGTTATTATGCGTGCTGTGTAACACGTTGTTGTGAAAGAAATGCTCCTCAGCACTGAGAATGTTTTTGGGTGGAGAGAAGCAGCGCCTTCCGGCGTGCGCTGATGCTTTCATGGACAGCCTTGGCGGTAGAACAGTGATGGCGAACCTTTTGAGCTCGGCCTGTCAGCATTTTGAAAAACCCTAACTTAACTCTGGTGCCGTGTCACATATAGAAATTTTTTTATATTTGCAACCATAGTAAAACAAATATTTATATTTCTGATATTTATTTTATATATTTAAATGCCATTTAACAAAGAAAAATCAACCAAAAAAATGAGTTCGCGTGTCACCTCTGACACGCGTGTCATAGGTTCGCCATCACTGCAGTAGAAGCTGGAAAACCTCCGAGTGCAGCCCGAGCCTGGACGCTCATCAGTAGCACACATTCCCATAGACTAATTTCTGTGGTCGCTCATTCTCACCTCCTCCTTGCTCCTCTCTTTAGTGAAGGATGGGTGCTTTTTGGTTCCACTTTGACTTATTAATGCAGCCTCTTCAAAGTTTAGGGGGTACATTCTCATTTTTATCAAAGAAATATTTATTCCTCCCTTCTGCTCCCTCCCTCTTGAGATTTATTATTCATCTTTCAGAAGCCAGAAGATGAAGTGTTTCTTGCCATTGCTAAGGCCATGGAAGAGATGGTGGAAGATAGTGTCGACTGTTACTGGATCACCCGATGCTTTGTGAACCAGTTAAACAACAAGTACCGGGACTCCTTACCCCAGCTGGTGAGGGATGCTTTTTTGGCTGTTGGTGGGGAGGGGAGGGGAGGGAGAGGGGGGTGAGCAGTGGTACTGGGAACCTTAGGGGAATGCTCTAACCTCTTGGTGCTGCTACAATTAGGAGCAGACCCCCTCGAGTAGGAGTCAGCACGTGTTTTCTGTAAAAGGCCAGGTAGTAACGCTTTCCAGCTTGGCGAGCCAGATGGTCTCTGTGTCTCTATTGCAGTCATTCAGCTCTGCTGTTGTCACACAGAAGCAGCCGAGGGCACCACATAAAGGAAAGGTCATGGCTGGATTTGGCTGCTGCGAGTCATAGTTTGTCTACTCCTGCTCTATAGTATTACTTAATGCTGGTCTAGAATCCACTGGCTTTATCTAGAATTTTCCCTGTGTATGAGGTAAGGTTTAAGTTTGGCTGCACATAATAGGAAGACCCCCAAACAGAAGCCTTATTGTTTTGTTTCCTGAAACGAGAAGTGCAGAGGCAAGGCGGTTCAGAGCTGGCATCCCAGCACCACAGTTTCAGTAGGGACCCAGGCTTCTGCCTGTTGCAGCGTGCTCAGGTGTGATCCTTCTTCTTGGGCGCACCAGGTGGATGCTGCAGAGACAGTGGTGACATCTAGGCAGGCAACAAGGGCAAGTTGAAGAAAAAAGCACAGGAACACAAGGGGCAAGGTGGTCAGGCCTGTCCTTCCGTAACAGACTTTCCTGCTGCATGTCAGTCAGTGGAGGACAGTGTTGCCTGGCCGCTCATCTGCAGCGGAGGCTGGGAAATGTGCTTTTATTTAACTGGACCCACTGGGACCTCCCATTAACACAGGATTCTGTCTGCTGTGCTCTCACTTGGGAATCCAGAGAACCCGATGGCATTTACTTCATCCACCTAAGCCAGTGGGCCTTTGACATTCTCTTTGTCGTTTCTTTCCTTATTTCTCTCATTATAAAAATGAATCCGTCTTTTTTTTTTTTTAAATCATTGAGTTTTATTTGAAAGCTCTGTTGAAGCAGCCACTGTGACATTGGGTTGCAGGGCCCGAGGAGGGGCACGAAGGATGAGCCCTGTGGCTCACTGCTCCAACTGAGTCAGTCTGCAGGGCAGGTGGCCAAGCCTTCAGCTCTGGAGAGTACTGTACAAGAGACGGTTTTAAATATTTAAGTAAAATATGATTTTTAGAATCTTAAAATTTAATTCATTTAGTTTATTACAATGAAAATAATTTAAGCATGGCACTGGAGCATCTGAAAATATAATGTTGCCTCATTAAATCAAGATGTCCAAATTATTCCACGATTTAATTAGCCTTCTTTCTTATTATTGGAGTAAATTCAGTAACATTTTGAAAGGTTCTGTTTAAAAATTCATCCTTTATTTTTGATAACACAGGTAATAGACAGATATATTCTTGAAGCATTAAACAATCCAAATGAATCCTGTGTTCCCATAGATATGTGACAGTACCTCCTCATCCCCCATTTTCTAAGAAGTAAACCCTGTTATCAGTTTGATGTGTATTCTTTACACTATTTTATGTACATTAGGATGGATGAGTGTGTGTGCATGTGTGTATATACATACATATAATGATACATATTTTTAGATATACTAGTATAAATATTTTTAAAAACGTAAATATGACCACACTGCTCATATAACCCTGCAATTTATTTATTTATTTAAATATGTTTTTATTACTGATTTTTAGCAACAGAGGAAGGGAAAGAGAGAGAGAGAAACATTGATGTGAGGGGGTAGCATGTCAGCTGCCTCCTGCATGCCCCCTACTGGGGATCGAGGCCTCAACCCAGGCATGTGCTCTGACATAATTGAACCTGCGATCTCTTGGTGTGTGGGATGACGCTCAGCCAACTCAGCCACATGTGGGCCAAGGCCCTACACTTTATTTTTAATTTAATGTCTTGGAGGCTTTTCAAGTTAGTACAGATAGGTCAGCAGTTTTCAGCCCTGAATTCCTATTAGTACCATATGGGAGCTTTTAAAAATTTCCTCTATGCAGACCAATTAAGCCAGACTCTCTGGGGGTGGGGCCCCAGAATTGTAATTTTTCAAAAGCTCCAGGTGATTCTGAAGCTTGGCTTTGGTTGAGAGCTACTCATTTAGAACCAGTGTTTTTTTATTTCCTCATAGTATTTCTTGTTAGGAATTTGCCATAATTTAACATAATAGGTCCATGCTGACCTTCAGCATGCCCTTATCCATGTTCCTTTGTGTATGTCAGTGCGTGTTTCTCTAGGATGGGTTACCTATAAGGGAAGTGTGCACTTGAAGGAGAGACACATTTAAAATTTTAACTGCCAGGTTGCTCACCAACCCAATTTTGCTTCCTCCAAGAGATTATGAGATTTCCTGTTTTCCACTCCATTGACAGTACTTGATACTATCTATCTCCTAAATTTTTGTTAATCTGATAGTGAAATGGTACCCATTTTAATTTGCATATCCTCATTTTCTAGTGAAGTTGAGCAGCTTTAAATATCTACTGGTCATTTTTATTTATCCACCTTTTTAATACATTGTTTGAGTCCTTTTTCATTTGTAAGAGTTAACAATAACTCTGAATGTTTATCCTTTGTCTGTTATACATGTTGAAAATATTTTCTCACTGTTGTACAAAGATTTTAAGTTTTGATATAATTGGATTTGTCAATATCTCTCTCTTGTTTTTTGTATCTTATTTAGGAAGCTCTTTCTAACCTGAAGATTAAAAAGCAGTTTGTTATTTTAGTTGACCTCAGTAAGAAATTTACTTGTTTAAAAAAAATTCCAAATGCTGGCATTGTACAAAAAAATTTAACAGGTTTATTTATATTGTTATAAAGTTGAACTGCTGAAACTCGTTCACTGAAACATTTGCCTTGCTTTAATGCTTTATGTCTCCACATTTATATTACAAAATTCACACACAAATGAAAGTGGGAAAACAGTCTTGCTTGTACTGCAACCCAAGTGCCTGACATGGGCCCTAAGCATACAGTAGGGGCTCACTGAGTAGCTGCTAGATGAATAGATGAAGGGGTGAGTGGATGGATGCATGGTTGGGTAGATGGGTGGGTAGGTATCTAAGTTTAATATAAATTCCTCTCAGGGTAGTTAAGTTTCTTTTTGGTCTGGTTTTGCCTTCTATTGATGAGGTATGGTGTATTTTCTCCATAAAGTAAGAATTTAGGATCATAGAAACATTGTAAATAACCTAAACCTATTATATGTAAAATATAATAATCACATCTACCATTTGCTAAGTACTAAAATTTCAGGTAATATAAACATTATCTCCTTCCACTAAAAAAAAAAAAAAAGCATATATGTAATTTCTGTTCACCCTCTTCCTTAGAATTAGCAGTAGCACATGATACCCATTTTTCTTCATCCTGCTGTTTTCACTTGATATATACTGGAAGTCATGCCATAATAGTATAGAGAGACATTCCTTATTCCTTTTCATGGCTACATACTACTCCATTGTGTGTATATATGCTTGTTTATTCAACCCATCCTCTATTGCTGGCTACTTGGGGTGTTTCCTGTCTTATACTATGATACAATATTATAGATCAGTGGTTGGCAACTGGTGGTCTGTGAGGTCCGAAAGGTTGGCGACCACTGTTACAGATAATAGTTTTATGTGTATATCTTTTCATATATATGCCAGTATACTTTTGGAATAGATTCCCTAGAAATGGATTGACTGATCATATGTTACTTCGCTAGAAATATTCATATTCCTCTTAATAAAGCTTACACTCTTTTGCATCCTCATGACTAATGGATGAGCGTGGCTGTTTCCCACAGCTTGCCAACATGGTGTGCCATTTTTGCCAATCTGATAGGTGAGAAACAATACCTCAGTGTAGTTTTAGGTTGCATTTCTTTTATTAACAACATGGAGCATCTTTTCATATGGGTAAGAGCCATTTGCATTTTTTTCTATATAATTTGTGGCTTTTTTCTTTTCTATTTTTGGAAGTTCTCTTTACTTAGGGTACTCACCCTTTAAGGTTGTTTGTTAATCTGGGAAAATGCCCACAATATGTTGAGTACAAAGAGCAAAATGCTGAGTTATATATTCAGGGTGGGTTCAACTGATAAAAGAAAAGTGTGTATGTAATGTATATAGGAAAACAAATGAATGCTGTACAACCTCAATATTATCACTAGTTATCTTTGGGGAGTGTGACCATAGGTGATCTTTATGTCCTTCTTTATTCTTTCCTGTATTTTCCTTTTTTTGTGTTTTGTTTTATTAATCCCCACCCAAGGATATTCTTTCCATTGATCTTTAGAGAGAGTGGAAGGGAGGGGAGAGACAGAAAGAGAGAGACACCAATGTGAAACTCACATCGATTGGTTGCCTCCCACACAGGCCCCAACTGGGGCCTGGGATTGAGCTTGCCCTTGACTGGAATTGAACCCAGGACCCTTCAGTCCACAGGCTGATGCTCTAACTGCTAAGCCAAACTGGTTAGGGCTATTCTCTCCTATATGTTCAAGATTTCTTGTAATAAGCATATTATAAATCAGGAAACATACTTTAGAAGAATTTAAGACTGGCTAAAAGATGTACATTGAGTTATTATCAAGATGTTGATTAATACATTTCAAAATTTCATTTAATTCCAATATTTATTTATTCATTGAATAGTTATATATTGAGTACTTATCATGCCAAGTAATGTTTTAGATACTGGAGAACTAGCAGTGAGCAAAACAGATACAGCCCCACCTTTCACTGAGCTTATGGTCTGATAAGGAAAAAGACAATAAATAGTTTTAGATTTTCACTCATCTATATTTTGTTATTTGTATTGCCTTTTGGAAGAAATTTTCTTTGCAGTGAGACATAATATATAAATGTGTTGGTGTGTGTTTTCATCCATGTCACTTTGTGGGAAAAGCACACCTACACGCCACTGGCAGGACCCACCAAAATTCTAGAATAGAGTTTCAGAGGTGAAAGGCTAGAGCAGGAGCCCTCTGGCAATCTGTACTTAGAGAAAAGCTCCTGTTTTGGGGAGCTGCGTGGGGTGTTCTTGAGAAGGTCTAGGAAATGTTAAGTAGGAGAGGTAAGGTGGATAAACAGAAAAGGTTAGAGGTCCTCTAAACGAGAGAGGGGAGAACTGGACCAGATATTAATACACGGGCTCACTTGGTGAGCTCCTGTGCATTCTGTGGGCCAGCTCAGATGTCAGCTCCCAGGGAAACTGTTCTTGGCTTCTAAAGCCTGGGTCAGGATTCCCAGCTGGGTGTGCCCACATCCTGTGGTGATCCCCATCACAGCTTTATTACAGTGTGTTCTGGTTACCTCTTTCCTGGGCTCCGTAAGCTCCTCGAAGGCAGGGACATGACCTTATCTTTTCTTTTATTCCCTGTATGTAGCAGTGTCTGGTTATAATGGACACAGTGGGGTTTTGAATCACCTCTTTGGCAGAAGCATAGAGATGCAGGTATTTAGTAAAATAAACATTTGCATGCCCTTGGTGATAAGGTTGTGCTTTTCCAGATAGGGAGTATAGACTTTAGGGTTTAGCCCTTACAGCCCATTCGTAGCCAGTGGACCTTAAATAGAGCAGCATGGGCCAGGTGGATGGGGCCTGGCCTGGGGAGCCGGCTGTGTTAGCCTCTCCATCTTCTAGAGTTGGCTGCTGCTCAGCCTTATGTGGGAGAGGCTACCAATCCAGGTACTGTGTTCCCCCTGCGGTATTCCTCTGATGACAGAGTTCTCACGCACATTTTGTTGGGTACAGAGCTCCTCCTCTGGACATTCCTGGTGGGTGGACCTCCTTAGCATGGTGCACAGTGGCACTCAGCACATGTGTGTGGTCAGTGACCCATGGGCCCTTTTCATCTCCAGCTCTTTCTGATTCTTCCTAGTTCTCGCTCCTACTTCATTCCCATTCTGTTTCTCTGGTCCTCCCCTCCCCTTCTCCCCCTTTTCCTAGAGCAGCCAGGAATATCAAGGTCCTTTCTAAGCTCCCAGAACAATTGAATTTTGCTTTGGACTTTTGCCTTAGGCCGTTGAATCTGGTTAGGGCAATTAACATTAGGGTGACCAGCTGTTCACTTCGCCTGGGACTGTCCTGGGAAACCCCTCAGTCCGATGGGTAGTGGCTCCGGATATGCTGACTTGGGAAGCGCTGCATCACCAGTGACTTGGATTATTCTGAAATTTTGGTTCCTAGCACTTGCTTGCATTCATCATGTACATTTTTTCTTCATAGGCTGTAAGAGTGGGTAATGTTATGTCACGGGAAGTGCGTAATCTCTTCCTGTTTCATCACTAGCCAAAGGCTTTTGAACAATACTTGAATCTGGAGGATAGCAGGCTGCTGAGTCACCTGAAGATGTGTTCTGCAATGTCCAGACTGCCTTACGATCTCTGGTTCAAGAGGTGTTTCGCGGGGTGCTTGCCCGAATCCAGTTTACAGAGGCAAGTATTTCTTTCAAACATACTGAAGCTGGAGTCGGAGAAGAATCCTGGTTTTCATGTGATCATCCCTCACAATATAAATTAGCTCTAGAACAACGCAGTAATTTAAAGCTAACTTCTCTAGCAGCTAACATAACAACACATTATTCTGTTATACATGCAATAATATTAATATTAATTTAATAGTAACAAACATTACAAATATTAGAATATACAATTATAAAAATTGAGAGCCCTCAATATGTCAGATGATGTATCATATTTACATCTGAAACCGTCTCCAGGAGTTTATAATGGCACAGCCTTTTTTTTCCAGGAGTGTGGTGAGTCCTAATCAAGAGAAAATACTGGTATTTTTTAGTTTCATCATGACATCGTGAAAGTGGCTGAAGGCAGTCAAGAGTAGAGACTCAAACACAATGTCCCTAGTTTAATGAAAGCACTAGTTTCAGACGTGTCATTCTGGTTATTTTAGAGGCCTGGCCCTTCCCCTCCAAGGTGTTAGTTATACTGTAGCTGCGAAGAGGCAATACAGAGAGCGTTACAGGACAATGCATAACTAAGCATAGAGTGCAGTACCATAAGAGATGTAGGCATTATCAGAGTGAGTATTTTATAGCTCTTCTGTGAAGCTTATACTTAAAAAGGAGTGTTTTGATTTAATTTTGTAATTTGAGATGTCTAGGTAAACAAATTTTAACCTCACCTAATTTGATTGTACATCTCTTCATTTTTGTAGGGTTTGGGATAAAGTTGTAAGTGGATCCTGTAAGATCCTAGTTTTTGTAGCAGTGGAAATTTTATTAACCTTTAAACTAAAAGTAATGGCACTGAACAATTCAGAGAAGATAACAAAGTTTCTGGAAAACGTAAGTATGCTTCATTTTATTTCATTTTGAATCCAGAAAGGAAGTCCGTTTAGCAAGCCGGATTTTCCTATTCATTAAATTATTTCAGGGAAATAACACAGTATATTTTTACATTATAAGAAACAGATTTCCCCTTGAAACCGTGTAGCTTACAGTTGATCAGTGGATTATAGTTTGCATCCTCTGTTTGGGGGACAGTGGTCTGAGCAGCGAGACTGTCGCTGTGACACTTTGCTCGAGGGGCTGCTGGGAGGCTTGTGAGGAAAGGGAGAGGTGAGACCTGTCACTTTAGAATGAGTCATCCCCACTAATGGAAGAGGAGTCCTGGTGTTTGGGGGATTTTGTAAGCCCTTTCGTTTCTGTTACCATCGCTGTTGGAATCCCAGTTGGGTTTGTTAATGTGCTTACATGTAAACTTAGTGCGTGTTGGGAAGGGTCTAAAGCAGTGGTTCTCAACCTTCTGGCCCTTTAAATACAGTTCCTCATGTTGTGACCCAACCATAAAATTATTTTTGTTGCTATTTCATAACTGTAATGTTGCTACTGTTATGAATCGTAATGTAAATATCTGATATGCAGGATGGTCTTAGGCAACCCCTGTGAAAGAGTCGTTCGACCACCAAAGGGGTCGCGACCCACAGGTTGAGAACCGCTGGAAAGGAATCAGCTTTTCCCTCTGTGTATCTCAGAATACCTTTAACCAGGCAAGAGGCAGAAGTGAGGAGGCTTACGCCTGGAGGAATTTCACTGGATCCAAAATCTGTTCTTTTATTTTTATCAGTCAGTATTACCATTTGAACACTGATCCGATAAATGATAAGTACCCCATGCATGTGTGTTGAATAAATTACTCACATTATAATAATTAATGGCTAATAGTGCCAGGGCTGTGGCAAGTGTTTTTCATGGATTATTTTATGTAATCCTATAACAGCCCTATGGAGTGGGCTACCATCTCCCCCATTTTAGAGATAGGATCTGAACCCACGTAGCTTAGGTAACCTGGCCAGGTGCACACGGTTCGGTGGGCAGTGCAGGATTTGAGCCAGGCCGTCTGAGTTCCTTAGCATGTCCTCAGGTGGCCTGTGAAGCAGAGATCCCATCAGCAGCCTTTTATGCGATCACTTTCTGGAAACCAGTGAGAACTCCTGTGGCAGTAAGGTTTATGCCCAATGAGAGAAGGAGATGAAGTTATAAGCACTGAAACCTCACGGAAACTGGTTTGCTTGTTCACAGATTCCCCAGGACAGCTCAGATGCAATTGTGAGCAAGGCCATCGACTTGTGGCACAAACACTGTGGGACCCCAGTACATTCAGCCTGAATGCCGTGGACAGCCCGCCGGGCCTGCACTACGTGTTCGTTGTGGGATGGTCTAAGCTGATTGAAACAGGATTCTTGCTTTGTGCTCAAAGTGTAATTGCTTTTCCAGTAAAATTATATAATTAAGATGCCTGGGGTGCTGTGCTGTGGAGCAGCATCTTTTGGTTACACAGATGTACGAAGTTCCACTCTGAATACAATTTAGAGGTGGTTGGAGTTTCTAAAGCAGTTCAGTGGAGGCGGGGGGGATGGTGTGTGTGTGGGGGTGGGGTGGGGGAGGGGCTCGGGTAGGTGCTTTAACAAGCAGTGCATGACCACACCCTGCCCTGCTTCTCTCTAATTAGCACCAAGCCAGTGATTTGCTAAGGTCTATTTCTGGAATAAAGAATAACTTCCTTTTGTTCACAACTCTGAGTCGGCTTTTGTTGATGTAGCACTTGTTTAAATCTAAGCTGACTGCTTTCTGAGGTTTCATTTTGCTAAGTAGGTTTAAATAAAGGACTTGCATTTTTTTTCTCTTTGTCCCATTTGTAATGAAACAGATATTGAACAAAATATGTCTAAATTTACCTCCCAAGAGAGAGAATACTTGTTGATATTTTGTTGGCCTCATGCTTTTCCCTGGTGGGTCATTAAGTGTTGGGTGGCCTTCTGGGAGCACTGTCACCCAGAATAGGAGTGGGGGAAACAGCAGGTTCGGGTTAACAGCAGGTTCGGGTTAACAGCAGGTTCGGGTTAACAGCTGGTGACCCAGGCCCTGTGGTGCCACATAATGGTAGCTGCTCACTGGACAGTGGCAGGCTCTGGGACTGTGTTTAAGACCCATTCAGCTATCAGACATGCAGGAGCCTGAGTGGCGAGCTGGATTCCTCACCCCACCCCACCCAAAAGAGGAGGGAGAACATGCATTTATGGAGTTACACATCTGAGCAGTCCTCTTAAATGTGTGAAATAACTGACAAAAATGAGTTTATAGCAGCCTGAGTTGTTAACCAGTGTGTCCTCCTGAATAGAGCATATCTAAGAGTATTTAAGGTGGTTTTCTTTTAACTTTCATCTGAGGATATGTTTTTATTGAGAGAGAGAGAGAGAAACATTGATTGGCTGCCTCCCGTACATACTCCCACCAGGGATCAAACCTGAAACCCGTGTATGTACCCTGACTGGGAATCGAACCCATGACTTTCAGTGTATAGGATGATGCTCCAATCAACTTAGCCACCTGGCCAGGGCCTAAGAGTATTTACGTTTTTAAACCAACAATAAAGAAATACACTCAGATCGGGGGACATCTGTAATACTATCAACAATAAAATTAAATTAAAAAAAGAAATATGCCTTCTTAGATATAACATAGATACAATATAGGGCTTACTTACATTGTTATTCCTACACTAGGGGCCCAGTACATGATTTCATACACCTTGAACTGTGGGCCATGAAGCTGCGGTGGGCACAAGGGCGGGTCTTGGCCCATCCTCCGCACCCCCGCCTGGCCCCTCCTGCTGTGTCCCCCTGTCCCCCTGTCTGCCGGCAGCCCTGCTCCTGCTGCTGCCACTCCCATGCGCTGACAGCGCTGGCCCCACTCGCACCTGCTGATGGCGCGGAGTGATTGGGGCCGGTGCCAGCAGTGGGTTTGAGAGGCAGCTGCTGGCCCTGATTGCCCCTCAGGAGCAGGGGGAGGTGGAGAAGCCCTGAGGAGTAATTGGGGCCAGCAGCCGCCGCTCACACCCGCTGACAGTGCCAAGCGATTGGGGCTGTCGCAGGGTACTGGCAGCGGGTGTGAGTGGTGGGTGGGACCACAGTGTGTGGGAGCAAAGAATTTTTAGCAACCACCAGTGGCTCGCCCCAATAACAGCGACCAGTGCCCTTCCTTGGTCTAGCATCCCCGCTCACCTGCTCCACCATCCTGCCGTGGCTGGTGCCCGCCATGTTCCATGCTCTGCCACCTGCTGCTGATGCCCACCATGTTCTGCGTGCGCCCCCTGGTGGTCAGTGCACATCATAGTGACCGGTTGTTCGGTTGTTCCACTGTTTGGCCTATTTGCATATTAGGGTTTTATATATATAGATTACCTTTATATTACAATTAAATAAACTATAAAGTTCATTTAAAAAAATACACTCAGAAGAAACCCTCTTAAAGCCACTGCTGCCTACAGTTAATGCTTTCCCTTTATTCATTGATTCCTCTGCCCTGAAGAACTTTCAGTCCAGTTGGGGATGTAAGAAAAAAGCATGAGGGAATTCCTGTTCCAGTGTCTGCTCTCTGGTGATCTTGCCCCCAAGAATATGTGAAATTCAAAGAGACGTCATAAAGCAATAATAACTTTATGTGTGTTTAATTTATGCACCAGGTATCATTTGTATAAGTATTTAGTAAAATAGAGTTTAGAAAGTTAGGTGATGTTAGTGAATCTCTATTACAGAAAAAGGAGAAAAAAAAGAATTAGCCATCTCTCAACAAGGGGATAATTTCAAGATTTTTGATCCTGCTTATGCCTAAATGCTGGGAGAAGACTAAGGTGTCCAAGGGTAAGGGTGGGAGGCAGGGGAGACCAACCTGGGGCTGTTGGTGGGGAGGAAGCTGAGGGGCTGAGTGTGGGTCCACACAGTCGGGGGAGCTGGAAGGGGGGACCGCTGCTGTCCTGCTGAGGAATTGGACCACGAGCGCCCTGATAGCCCCTCAGGAGCAGGGGGCCTGCACACCTTCGGCAGAGTCTTTCTGGCTACAGGGTGTCAGGTGGGAATTATTTTTTAAGTGAGTCATTCTGAAGCCATCAAGAGAATTTTCTTTATTAGATAACTAAGCGCTTCACCTCAGTAGGAGGGTTTTTAAGACATACTGTGAGGACAGTGATAGAACTATGAGGATTCAATTTCACTTTAATATCAGAATTCTCTTTAGCTAAGAGCTAAGTATTTTGAAAATGTCTCTGTCTACTTCCTTTGGTGAGAAGCACAGCTCCTGATAAAATAACCCCCTACTTCCCTTTATGCAAACTTTGGTCAGGATTCTGCAGAATTCCTCCTCTGTGTTAAAGCCCAGGATTGCTGTTGTAGCCAAACTTGTGGAGTTCTCCCTTGGAAAACCGGGATTTAACATCATAAAGTGTACTTTCTAGTCCTTCCCTTCTACAGTGTTTTCTTCTTAAACACAGGTGAGAGAATCTCTAAATCTGCTCTGATAGGAGACTCTGAGGGAGTGTGTGTGTGTGTGTGTGCGCGCGCGCAGCTTCTGCCCAATAACAGGTGGACCTGGTAAATTGTATGTACACAGTCTTGTGAATGTGTGAGGCTACTTCAGAAATGAGGTCAGGGTTCATTCACATGAAGTGCTTTTTTTTGTTTATGGAAAGTTTGCCTGAAAATCGTGGACAACACTGAGTGCACACGGTGTGTAAAAAGCGCTCTGCAGGCCTCCGTCCCCTGCTGCTCGGGGGTGAGAATTGCTAAGAATCCTCCCTTGCTCTGACCAGCCTCTGGCATGTGTGGGTCATCACCTCCTTACCGTGACTTGAGGTTTCTTTTTTGTCCCTGAGAGAAGAATCTGGAGGGAAGTCTGTGGGGATGAGGAGGATAAAAATAGTGTCTGCTGAAGGTGACAGCCTCTGCGGGGGCTGGGAGATTTCAAGCAGGAGTGGTGTCCTGAGCTCTTCAGTCAAAGGCAGTCTTTGCGGGGTTGGGGGTGGGGGCGCTGGCAGGGCGTCCAGCTCTGCATTGCATCTGGCCCCGTGGCAGGGAAGGGCTTTGTCTCCAGCTGGCTTTGGCAGGGCTGGAGGACATGTTCTCTGCTCTGCCTGATGGGAGCGTGGGAATTTTTGTAGCAGGAGTTGGTGGCATTCCCTCTGGTGGGTGAACAAAGGGCTGTTTCTCCTTCAGAGCCTGTGCCAAATGAAACTGCTTGTGGCTCTTGGCAGGAACTGCCTCTGCATCAGCTGTTGCTTCTCCAGAGCAGCGCCCGTTGGAGTAGGAGGAAGGGGTGAAGGGAGGGGGAGTGATGAGACCAGAGGAGGAGAGACTTTTCCTGGAGGGCCATGGCGGGGGTGTGGGTGCTGTCCTTCATGCTTCCCTGCACTTCCTCCCTTTCCAGTCTCTCTCTCAGCCGTATCTGATGGAGGTTAAAAATGAAGTGGACAGTGAGTTGCTGGTGATATTACCATTCCCCCCTTTACTCCTGGGGACTGGTTTTATTGTAGGGCACCCACAGCGGGAGTAGAGAATGTGATGTGAGAAGGACCTGGGAAAGAATCCTTCAGGAAGCGTGTTCTGACTGAGGGGAACTCCAACTAACAGTGATGGC